CTTTCATCCAGCAGCATGCCAGTATTTGACTGAATATGGCATGAATGAGCCTAGCCGAAACTGGAGTCAATTTCCCAGCTATTATATCTAGTATTTTCGAACAGACAGCCAATGCAGAATGTTGTCTAGTTCTTTAGAAATCTAAGTAGATGAATGTACACTGGGCTCTTTTTATCCATTGGTTGTCACTACTGCAGAGAACCTCACAAAACTACCAGGTGTGATTTGAACTTCCTAAAGTGGGGAACTTAAAAGAGGCAACATTTAGCTCCTCGCCTGCAGCTCTCTGCAAGCCAGTTTCAACATATCCACTGGGTCTTGACTTCAAGAGGGGTGTCTGTCTGAAGTCCAGAAGATCATGGTAATGATGACTTCTCAACTCCAATCAGTCCCTAGGGTCACCCAAATTTTCTTCCCAGTGTTGCTGGGTGGTGGTAGCCACTGCTGCTATGCACCTACCTCTGGCGGGACGCTTGCAGGCAAGAACATATCGATGAGTTGAATTGATGCACAACTCTCAGAATGTGCCCCTAGTCCGTCTTCAAACCTGCCTCTCTGAAACGAGATTCTACCTCCAAGTGCCTGAAGGATCATATTTGATGATACCTTTGACAACTGAAGTTCCAGCCCATCGTTCTTAATTTCTCAAGTTGAACTAAGTATTGTCATCAAATACTATGTGGGAACACTGAGCTGGTGGTAGTGCAGGAGTTTAGGGCCTGGGAACGTTAGGAGATGATTGGAGAGCCTTACTGCACTCTTATCTCACTGGGATATTGTGAATTGGTCTGAAAGGAGACTGCTTTCAGAAGCGCTAGAGATATGGCTGTGTTGAGAAGGCATCAGCAGTAAGAAGGAAACCGGTGTGTTTTTAAATTGGAGAGGACCAAGAAATTATGGGGTGGGATTTAGTACATTGTACTCCCTTCTTTAACAATATGAATGTTTTTAAGAGTCACAAACTATTTTCTGCAAAGTCTGCTATTATTCCTCTATGCTGCTAAACTCTTCCCAGTTCACTCCAGCAACCTCTGTCCTCATTCCTTTGTAATTTTCCTCATATAAGATTAGCACACTTGTTTCTCATCCACATTTCTCCCTCTCAAATTTTATGGTCACTATTTTCTAAGGGATCTTTTACTCAAATAATCCATTAATCCTGCCTCATTACACAGTAACAAATCCAAAATAGCCTGATCCCTGGTTGGATCTACAACATATTATTTTAGGAAATAGTCCCAAATACACTATGAAATTCTTCCTCATGGCTATCACTGCCAATTTGTCTTTCCCATTCTATAAGAAGAGTAAAGTCACCCATGATTAATGTACTTGCCCTCATTATTTCCTGATTATTCTCTGTCCTATTGTTACTGCTGCGGGGAGGGGGATCTATAGATTGCTCCCACCAGTATCATCCTCTCCTTCTTGTTTCTTACCTCCACCCATATGGATTCTACATTTTCCTATTCAAGATAATTTCTTGCTATTGTACTTATTCCATCCTGTACTAAGAAAGCTACTCCACTACACTTTCTTTCCTGCCTTGTCCTTTAAAAAAGTCTCACATCTGCCATTTAGTTTCCAGCTTTGATCTCTTCATAATCATGTCTCCATAATAGTTGAGAGATCATATCCATTTACTTATATTTGTGCCATTTATTCATTGATTTGTTCCATGTACTACATTCAAGTGAAGATCCATTAATCCTACATTTTTACTATTGTTTTCTCCCATTGACAGTTTTATTATGTTCCTATATTTGTATAATCTGTCTTTCCTGTCCTACTCTGGGTACCATCCAAATATCTGTTCTGCAAATGCTGACATAACTCTCACTTTGTAAGCCATTTCCCCTCTTCCAAACCCTCCCACCCTCTCAATCAGTTTAAAGCCCTCTCTGCAGCCAGATATTTGGTTGCCAGGACATGGGTCCCAGCATGGTTCCAACTTAAGGCAAGATGGCAGCAGGGTAAGTCGTTCCATTTGGAGCTCCACTCTGCTCGCCAATTCTCTTTCTCTTTCTTTCTTTGTCCTTCCTTTTATTTCTCCCGTCTTCTCTCTCCCTCTATAGTAATTCTATCCCACCCCACCCCTTTTAACGACCTAGCTAAGGAGCTCGGTTGTGACCAGGAACCATGTGGCGAGAGCTGACTGCGTGGGTTGTGTCCTACAGCAATGGCGGATCCAGAGTGGGCCAGTGAGGCAGCCCGGAGCAGGACTCTGGCGAAAGCACGGCGAGGGTCGGAATGCCTACAGCGGGACTCTGGTGAAGGCATGGCAAGGGCGGGAAAGCCCAGAGTGGGACTGCGGCAGTGGAAAGGAAAGTTGGACTCTCTTAAGTGATCTTTATTTTCTTATTCTAAATTAATGCGAATGGCGCCATGTATGTACGGCAAAGGTACTCACTTTTCACTGTATTTTTACATTGAATACACATGACAATAAATGATTCAATTCGATTCAATGATGCCTGTCCTAGCGGAACAGCTCCCTTCTACCAAGTAATACAAGAAAAGTACTGTGGTTCCTTCCACTGTACCAGTCACCATACCATTCTGAAGAAGCCATATCAGATTCAAAATGTTAACTCTCCTTTGCTGTCCATAGATACTGTCAAAGTGCTGGAGAAACACAGCAGGTGTCTGTTTTTTCCCCATTTAACCCCAGTGCTGGTGCCAGTGCCCATGAACTAAACCCTACTCTACCCACACCAATCTTTGAGATATATAATTAACTTCTTGATTTTATATACCCTATGCTGTTATGCCTGTGGCTCAGCTAGTATTCGCAAGATTATTACCTTGAAGGTTCTGCTTTTTAATATAATTCCTAACTGTTCTAAATCTTTCAGCAGAACCTCCTTTCTAGGCCTATCAATGTTGTTAGCATCAATCTGGATCTGTCCCCTCCCATGCCAGGTTCTTTTCCAGCTCCGAAGAGATGCCCTTAATCCTGGCACTGGGCAGGCAAGACAGCCTTTGGGACTCCTGCCGAGAGCTGCCCTTTAATTATATTGTCCCTTACTATGATTCTGTTCCTATTTCCTCCTCAATTTTAATGGCTGCCTGCGCAGCAGTACTGAGGTCAGATCATTCATCCTCCCCGTAGGCGCCACAGCTTACAAGAACCTCGTAACTGTTGGACAATTGAGAAGGTTGAGGCTCCTCAAATGTAAACACTTCGGTCTCCATACCTACCTCACCTGCAGGCACACCCATGCTGTTCCTGATCACAGACCAAATTTCAATTACATTGTTTGAGGGGCGTGACTGCCTTCTGGAACATCTCCGGGTAACCTGCCTTGCATCTGTAGTTTCTCAAGCTGCAAACACTCACTGCAGGTGTGATCACTCTGGATCATCTTGGTGTCCAGCAGCATCTATATGCTGTAGCAGCAACACTTCACGTGTCCTGCCAACACTATCATAAATTTATTAATTACTTTAGAGTACTTGTTTATTTACATTTTATTGTTTGGTTTATTGGAAGAAAAATTACCAGCATCAATCTTACATTTTGAAGAAAAAAAGAACACAAACCACTTGAGCCCTAAACACAATCTAAAGACCTCTCTTTTACTTTAAAGACTAGAAATATTCACCAATCCTACTCACTAAATTAGCTTCCTTCCTTGCACTTGTGTCATGTTGTAATTTGTGATGTCACTCGTCTCATTGTAGATTGGCTTCTCAATCCACATCTCGTATCCTCTCCCAAATACCTCCCGCTTTGGATAGTTTACTTCTGGGCACTAAACATTTGTTTAACACCTCTGTCCCCATTTGCAGATTGAACCCAATTCTTAGTTATACCAATTTGGCCTTTGTCTCACTCTGATGAAGTCTCCACTTACATTGACCATACTTCTTACTGACCTGAATGCATGGTAGGTCACCCATAGACCTCCCCCGATATTAATTCCTGGGGTGGCAGGAAGGGAGAGGGGGTAAGTATTTCTCCATAGCCAACTCACCTAAATGTTTGTTTGCTCTTCTCTCCATGCTCCATGTCATGTGCAGGTTTTCAGGGCTTACCCAAGAGGATATGCACTGGGGAACTACAGAGCAGCTAATGTAGGACCACTGTAAAAAGGCCAGATATCAATGCTCTCAGTGATGGTGAGAATTTGACAGTTTGTAATTGAGGATGAAACTACCATGCATTTGAATACAGGAAAAACAGAAGTAGCCAGTACGATTTCACAGAGATGTGATCTTGCTTGACAAACCTCAGAATGCAGCATAGCAACTGGGGTTGGGTAGGGAAAAAAGAGAGGAAATAAAAAACTCTTCTGCTGTTTGCCCTCCTCTACCATCACAGAAAAGTCAACTGTTATACATTTGCTCATGCAAAGTTAAACAATTTAACCTTCAGACATTTCAACAACACACTTCTGTATGGTCACTCATCGTGCCAAAGTATCACTGCATCACCTTGCAGTTTATTTTCTAGTTTCAAGTTCTGATGAAGGATCTACTGTCACAATTATGTCTACACTCAGATACTGACAGCCTAGTGGATATTCAACACTTCCTGGCTGAACAGCTGCCACAAACAAGTAACAATGTAACTAAGGAATGTGCCAAATGCAGTTGTTCCATACACTGAATAAATAGTTCATACTCGGAGTTATCAAGCATCCTGTTTGTGCACCAAAAAAGTACTGATAAGTGTCAATATCTTTAGTTTACCAATTTCATGTTTTTGTACCCTTGCATTCTGTTATCTATTCCATAACTCTGGTTATTAAATATCAAATGAATACATTAAAATTCTAAAGATACAACATCTGTATTTTCTTTTTTATCATCTAACTGTCATCATGGCTAAGCCTTTTGAACCATGGTTACGCATAATCCCTTTGTAGAAATCTTATAAAGGGAGTTTTACACCCTCAATCAATTACTCCCTCTTTGAAATTCAAATAAGTTAACTTTGTTTTTCTCCTCTTGAATCATACTTTTGTTGACAACAAAGAATTAGAAAATGTACTCACTTATATGGCTCTGATCGAGAATTTCTCAGCATCAGGAAAATGAACAAGCCAGCTTCAAGATTTAAAGCAAATGAGGTGACTTTATCAAGCACAATAACAAATCCCTGCAGAAAACAGCAGCAATTATGCAATATGAAAAATACTCAGGCAAAATTATATCACAGCTTTTGAGTCTGAGCAGAGGAATGTTATTTTGAGTTTTCTTTTGTGTTGGGGAGAGTTTTTGCAACAAGTTGATGATTCTTATTGATTAAAAAAAAGCTGAAGTTCTGGTTGTGACCAACTATTTGGTCAAAGTAAAACTGATCATTACAAATGAAGAGAGATGTGGTTGTACACAGCTTCACTGAAGACATGTCACATTCCATTCCGAAGTCTATAAATATTAAATGCCAAAAATTTCACTTTCAAAAACTAAAGCAAATACTGTACAGAAAGTAGTCATAAATGTACTTAATGCTAAAGCAAACTGACAGTTGTGTGTATTAGTTGACAAATTAGAATTGTCTAAATTTTGTAGTAATATTGACAGCAAAACTGTCAATATTTGATTGAAACTGACAGTGACTCTGAAGTGCACAAGTATGCAGAATATAATGGAAATCCAGAAGTTGCTGTAGCAAAACAATAAATTGAGAATATACGCTGTTGAAGCGCCCTCATACCACAATGACTTGACAGAAACTCTCCTTTTCCACGGTTACCTCAATAAATTTTCTTGAAAAGGTTACAGCTTGTTGAAGGAGATGTGACTGAGTTTTTAATGCCGTATTAACTTCAACAATTAAATACATTCAGTGCCCTTGAAAAGCCATTTTAGTGTTTGTTGAATTTCTCCATTAGAAGGAATAGAATTTTTTTCTAAATTTGATATTTTATTGAAAGATTGATTGAATTGCTATTTTATCTTCAGTCTAAATCCAATCATTTATCAGAATATTTAAAACAAAAAATGCAACATAATGTTTTTGATTTTCAGGCTGAGAATAACTTGGATGTGATTGGCAGTCAGGGTGTTCTTGCTATCTGTCACATTACTGGTTTAAAATATGTGGGAGAACAATGCTTGTTAATGTGCCATCTTTTGTTTTCTAAAAGGAAGTGTATGTTGCCTTCAGGATGTCTAGTGCTGAGCAATTGGTCAGTGCCCTACCACATGATAATTTAATTCACTGTGCATGATTACAAAATCCATCTTTGGTTACTCTCCTGAATATGATCACTGTCTGAATTCTTCACCTGGTTCTGAAATAGGATTCTGGTTTTTTCCTCCCCTCCCCTGAATTCAAATTGTTCACAGTTTATGCGTCTTGGCCTGGATTCTCAAAAATAAATTTTATTCATGAATGAATTAATATTATATTTCTCAAGTTGGTAGAGAGCTTGTTGCTTCCCTGTCCACAACCACCCACCAATATGGTCAGTCAATGAAAGACACCTGACCTCTCCTCTATAGTAGCCAGTCAAAATGTTTCATGAGCTGCATACTACCTTTCAAACATTTAAATGCGGTAACTTCCTCTGACCCCGTTCAATTGTCAGTTCTACAGTAGGTGAAAAAGTAACCATTTAGATGCACCTCAAAGTTTGCAGATCTTTAGTCTCTCCAAGTATTAGAATGATAGATTTGAATATAACATCCTTCATGGCTAACTTACCTTTGGATTAGACATAGCCACCAAAAAAATAATCCCGAATCCCAGCAGGCAAATTAATCCTTGTGTCAAACTGCAGAGCAAAGCAATTTAACAGGTTATTACACTAGAAAGGATGTATTTTCTAATGCAAATATTGCAGCTTTAATTCAAGAGGCCCAAATAATTTTACAGATGTAAAAATTAACCTGAATTTAAAGGAGTTAAGGACAATATAAAGATACTGATTGAAAACCAGGCTAGGGAAGCAGGGCAGAGGAAATTTTTGATGTTTGGGAAAGAGGCAGAAAAGCAGACATCCTCAGTGTTCCAGAATGCTGCTGTATATGCTTGAGATTCTTAGTCACAGTGTGTCTTTATTGTTAATTTTTAAAAACAAGTTTGTATCCCATGTATTGCCGAGAAGCTGTCTAGTCATCCCTTGAAGGCCATCAAGATGTCTTATTCCACTTAAGTCGATTAGCCATTACTTGGTTGTCTGGTCTTGTATTTAACTAGCTGTGAAAAATGTCACCTTCTTTAATTTAATGTGATAGTTTTTTGGCATTTGAGATAGGAGGTTCCTCACCAAACCATAGGGTGAAGGTGTTCCCATGGTCAGTTATGTGCCTTTTTCCCAAATTTGGAAGGGCACTTGCTGTTGGAAGAAATTTTCAATTTTCCACATCAACCATCCCCTGGCCTGAGTGAGACAGTTTGTGAATGCCAGTTTTCTTTTAATCACCAATTTATAATCTTTATTTTCACCATATAAAGAGAATCTTCTGTTGGACAATGTTTATTATCAAATTCTGTTATGAAAAGTATTTTAGAAACATTTCCAATATAAATTTGATTTACTAAGAACAAAAGACCATAAGACATGGAGCATAAGTAGGCCATTCAGCCCATTGAGTCTGCTCTACCATTCAACGGGATCATGGCTGAGCTAATAGCCCCTCAACTCCACTTTACTACCTTTTCTCCGTAACCCTTGATTCCCTTACCAATTAAAAATCTGGATCTCAGCTTTGAATAACTTAATGACCCAGGCTCTACAACCATCTGCAGTAACGAAGTCCACAGATTCACTACCTTTGAAGAAAAAAATTCCTCCTGACGTGTCTTAAAAGTGCAACCCATTATTCAGAGATTGCACCATTTGGTCCTTGACTCTCCCATAAGGGGAACTGACTTTTCTGCGTTTTCTACTATCTATCTAACAATGTTTTGTTTTTAAGTATCTTGCTTGCTGCAAAGAAATTTTGCCTCATTTTATTAGTTACTTTCAAGACTTACATTTTCTTCTACAAATTAGTCATCAAATTTCTGAAAACAGTATCAAGTAAAATGACCTGTCATGTGGACTAGATATCAAATCAAATATCCATGAGTACAGGAGTTATGTTTTAGATCACAGGAGAAATGAGGATTAGTAATGAAATGTCGAATACATAGCTGGCATCCACAACACATTTTCAGCTCATCAGATTTTGTTTTCTGATAAAAGTAAAATGCTGCAGATGTTGGAAAGCTGAAATTGAAACAAAGTGTTGGAGAAACTCAGCAGGTCTGGCAGCATCTGTGGAAAGAGAAATAGAATTGAAGTTCTAGTTCGATGACTTCTTGCAGTACTAACTTTTTCACATTTATTAGCAAGACTATAAATTCTCATGGATTTATAAAATCTTTTGAATTAGCAGTTTTATTACATGCTACCAAAGATAGATTAAAAATTTAATCTGAGTAACTTTTGTATCAGAAAGAAATCAATTGATGTTCATTTTAGGAAGTCTTTGACTGACAGACATTTGTGCAATAAAAGTGGATAAACTAATTTATTCCCACGTGAATAGCAAAAGGCACAAGCTTATTTTCATTTATAGCAGCAAGTTGAAAATGAATGAAGTAAGCATCTGAGAAGATTTTTAATATTTAGGCATTTTATTTTTGTTTGTACTTCTAATTCATGGGCAGTTGTTTTTATGGCCATGGGCTCATAGGCCGAGAGGCCAGGGAGCAGGAAGGTATTAAAGCCATATTAAGACATTCCCTAATTCAGTCCTGCCTTCAGGGGTATTTTCCACCAAATGTGGATCAGCTGCCTTAAGGTAACATAACACCCCTATTTAACGGGGAGGGAGGGAGACAGAAGACAGGAAATTACGGGCCGGTTAGCCTGACCTTGGTCATGGGTTTAGAGTCCATTACTAAGAATCACATTGTGGAGTACTTGACTACTAACCTGCATCAGCAATCCCATGTACTTAGATGAGGCTGTCTGCCCTGATAGGGCCAGCAACATCTACATTATGTCTCTCTCCATTAAACTTGCTGAACTTATCCCACTACCTGCAATTGATGGCTCAGAACGCACATCAGATTCTGATGCAGGATCGTGAAACAAGTGATAAGATCCTGTTCAATAATTGAGGCTCTGGTGGTTTTGAGCGTGAGTTATAATATATTGTCCAGACCATCTAATGCTTCATGAAATAGTAACAGACAATTTTTCATCCCAATTCTGAGCAGTTACTTTTCAGACCATTCCCATTGTAATGCAGGATTCAATTGTTTCTTTACCTTTTTGCACCACTGATCTTAATTAATTGAAAGCAAGACTTTTCACAACGTTCAGCAGCTGTTTCACATTTTTCGTTCCAGAAGGAATCTACCCAACCCTCCACTGCTTGGAAAAGATCCCGTGAAAGAAAAAGAAAGAGAAAATACCTTCAGAGTCAATTGTGTAGCCAAATACTACAAGAATTTCTGTTTCTAAAGAAAAATCTTTCAATTTAATGATAGCATATACAACCAATGTATAGTTCTGAGGCACATTATATTAAAATTCTATCATTAAAAGCTAGTCTAATGGTGACAAACGTTGATTGTTGTAAAAAATCCATCTGGTTCACAAATGTCCTCTCGGGAAGGATACTGCCATCCTTCCCTGGTCTGGCCTACATGTGACTCCAGACCCACAGCAATGTGACTGACTCTTCAGTGTTACCAATTGGGGGTGGATAATAAATAGCCTAGTTAGTGACACCCAAATTCAGTGAACAAATAGAATTTTTAAAAAATTAGCTGCAATGCCCTCACATGCTCTCTGATAGTGGGACAGCGGTTTCTTAAAAATACATCAATAAGCACACATTATTCCAGCACTGAAGCTCCAAGACTTGATGCAAGTGAGCCGAGCTAGATTTGCATTCACAACAAAATTTCCTGGACCATTTGCAAAAGCGCTTGCAAATTATTGAAAAGTTTATTATAATAGTTCTGGCTCCATTCAAAACAGCAGCAGCAGCAGCAATCAAAAGCTTCCTTGTTTCAAGCTAATTTTTCTGCCGCTTGTAGGCACATTGATGAAGAATGGCATAGAAGGATCTCTGTCGAACATTGTTGGAAAGTTTGTGTTGCTGACAAAAAAAACATAGTACTTGGCCATTTTTTGTTGAAATGCAGCCTAATTTGGGAAATTTAATGGAGGGTTTTTCTCATGGAGTGCTAGCTAGTTCTCACACAATCCCCCATTGCTTACACATATACTATGCCCCTATGGTTCTGTGCTCATTACCTTGAGCTCACCAGCAGTGGAAGCACCTCACTGCTGCCAGCGATTTCTGGTATTGGTGCCAATAACACCATATTTAAAGTCTAGCTTTACATGATGTCAGTTGTCATCAGCCAGGAACTACCCTCCACAGCATACATTTTGGGAACAAACCAGTAATCAAAAAGCTTCTGAAAACACATTGGTGATTCTTCATTGGAAAAAGAAGATCACAATTGTAAATGCTTTGCCCCTTCACATCACGATCTGTCTGATCCATCTTCACAGCAACTGCAGTGCAAGAACGATGCTGCCTTTTTATTAGTGCTGTACCATGTTAAAACCCTGTCTGAAAGAATGCTACTGTGTTCCCCAAAACCCAGTGTATCACAGCATCTTGTCATTGTTCAATGTGGGAGCATCAAATGTTATTTAGCCTTCAAACAGTCATTAACATCAACTTTTTTGGAATAACAACTACAGTAAAGTAAAAAAAAATAAAAAACGGGAAATTGCTTCTGGAAATAAACAAGGGCTGCTTTCCTTTTGAACAACAAAGTTAGAGTCAATGATTAATAACCTCCACAATTCACTGATCTGCAGACTCTGCCACAACTCGGCCAGGTGCTACATGAAGGCTTCAGAGGAGACATGTCGGTAAGTTTACACTCTCCCTTTGATTAATCAACTTTGTGCCTGCATGTTCCTGACAATACTTGTGCTTTCCAAATAAAGCTTTACCATTGGTCAGCATGTTTAACTTCTTCAGGGATACTTTGAAGACATTCCTAAAGATCTGAACTTTTTCAGAAATGAAAGAGGGTAATGTCAGGCCAGCCATTAGGATAACGGAATAGAATTTATCATTTGAATTCATTAAAATCATTGCTTTGCCTCATTTGCAAAATGGTTTAACAGTAATAAGTAATTTCAATTTTTAAAGTTACATTTATTGCATCCTAACAATAAATGTTATTTATATAACAGTTTTTAAAGTTAAATGTAATTTTTTAAAGATGTACATGAGAAATCATTCATAATTACTATATTTAATTCAGAACTTGTTCATTAAATTCAGGACTGAGAAAGAATAAGACTTACACTCTCACATTTATTTACCTGGATTCTGTAACTGATCGGGAAGCAACTGACTGGTGTGGCATCTAGAGTTCTGATTAAACTAAATAATGGTAAATATATATTTTGAGAGGCTCCCCCAAGAGCATAGTTGATTATTGTGGGCAAATTGATGGTTAAATCACAAGGCTCAGCACAATAATAAAATGTTGTGTAAAGGTTACATAAAACAGCCAACTCACTGCTGCAGCATCCATGAATTGGATCTACAGTCAAAATTTTCTATTGGAGGTTTTCTAATACTTTTCAAAGTATAGGGGTTAACATTCCTGTTCCACAGAGGCAGATTAGGAGCTAGAACTGGCAGTAAAATTGGCAAGAGTGCTGCCAGATACATACCAGCTTCCAAGCAATATTGCCAGAGGCACGGTGAGTGTCACAGAGGCCATCCACTCAGCAGCAGAAGATTAACCAATTAGGCCCAATATTGGGCAAAATGGGAGAAAGGGATGCTGCCATCACCAGAACCTTTCTGATTTCAACCAGGACCTGCTGTTGATGCATTTAATACAAGGCATCCTCCCAGGTGCAGAAGCAGGGGACCATCAACATGTACTTTGCATCACTCCAATACAGACTTGATGGGCTGGGACAACTGCAGACCAACTAGTGGCAGACTTCTGCTACTTAACTACTTACAATCTTACAGGAAGTACCTCTGCTTTGAAGGGCCTTTGCAGTCTCTGAACTAGCTAAGTGGTATTCGCCTCCTGTGAACGGATTGCTGGCTAGACATCAGGGTGGGCTTTCCTGCTCAGCTTCCGTGGTCCACCACCAGGTCTTAATTAGCCAGGTCTACTAGAGTTGTCTAATTGAAGAATTTAGACCGCTTAAGGTTGTCTAAGAGATTCACATTTATAGCTTCTCCGGAAAGGTTTATTCGTCCAGTGACTCACGACAAATACTGTTGCAACATATTTGATGTGAATAGTGCATTCATATTGTCAAAATGCCTGATTATTAATGTGCAAGTTAATTTTACTGTGTGGAAAATAACAAGAGAAGGAGCTTTCTACACAGTTCATTATTCTGGTGCAGATTGACAGATTGACATTTTGTACTTTTAATGTCATTGAATCCTTTGTGATCTACAATTTAATAGCACAGTGTGAAATCCATCTGCATCTTCACACAAAACAAAGCTGTGAGCAATGTAATAGTGTGCTACAATTTAGTGGTTATTCTCAAAATGTTCTACTTGTCATATTCTGAACTTCAACTCCTTAAATTAATTCAGCATGTCTCTAAATTAAACACCAATACACTTCAATAAAACATTGAGGTCTGAAGAGGTGCAAAGAAACAATTCTGAAGTGACCTTGATCTGTATGGGGCAATGATTGACTGTAGATCCAATTCATGGATGCTGTGTCAATGATTTGGCTGTTTTGTGCTAATTTTTAAAATTTATCAAGCATGACACTTTTTCCAAAAGGTACTTGTTACAAATTTGGTCTTGTTCTAAAAATTCTGGTCACCCTGCTATAGGAAGGATGTTGTGAAACTTGAAAGGGTTCAGAAAAAAATTACAAGGATGTTGCCAGGGTTGGAGGGTTTGAGCTATAGGGAGAGGCTGAATAGGCTGGGGCTATTTTCCCTGGAGAGTTGGAGGTGGAGGGTGACCTTATAGAGTTTTATAACCACCAGGAGCATGGATAGGGTAAATTGACAAGGTCTTTTCGCCAGGGTGACAGAGTCCAAAACTAGAGGATATAGGTTTAAGGTGAGTGGGGAAAGACTTAAAAGGGACATAAGGGGCAACTTTTTCATGCAGAGGGTGGTGTGTATGAATTGAGCTGCCAGAGGAAGTGGTGCAGGCTGGTACGATTACAACATTTAATGGGAAGGGTTTGGAGGGATATGGGCCAAATGCTGGCAAATGGGGCTAGATTTATCTCGGATGTCTGGTCGACATGGAAGAGTTGGACTGAAGGGTCTGTTTCCGTGCTGTATATCTCTATGACTCTAAAACTCTTTCATTTACTATCTAACACTGAAGGGCCTTATCCTACAACATTGTTTAATATAACATCCTGAAATTACATTGAAATTTTAATGTGGATAGATGCCCCAGTGTGTTGATTGGAATGTAGTCAAAGAATTACAGCTTTTCCTTTGAAAAGGCACAGAAATTACTTAGAGATAAACTGATTTAATTGAAAGTATCAATTGTCTTAAATTTAAATTTAAAAGCTATAGATAATAAATTATTTGCTGCTACAACTATAACACATTTTTTCAGTAATTAAATTCAACAATATCTGGAAAAGTTGACATACATGTATGCTTCATTGCAGATCCAAGCACTAGAAAAGAAACTGTAATGCTGACAGTGATAAAAATCTCTGTAAACCAGGCCACCCAGGCAAACCTTTTGTACTGTTCCATTATTATCTGTCAAGAGAAAAATAAAGTTGATCCTGTAACATTTTTTGACAATTAAATGAACAACAGTATTTTAGGATTTAAACACAAACTGATGAGAGACAATGGCCCCAAGGGTCATGTTATTTAAACCTGTCTCAATGAATATCCCCTAATTAGCTTGTCTTGGTGGTACTGAATGGATCTTCTCACTATCTCAGAGACTAGTGGCATCAAATGATGGGGAAAGTGTGTGGGTAGTGCTGTTGAGTAGGTGATTTGCCATGATCTGAATGAATAGCTTGTGAGGCTCGATGGACTGAATGCCTTAGTCTTCAAATGAACAGACACACTGTAGCTCTAAGGCAAAATAAAGGTCAAACATTTATGAGCAGTTGGCTGAAGGAAGTTACATTTTTCGTTGGGATGTGGGGGTCAGGGAATGCTCTGAGAATAGACTTTAGTTAGCAATGTTTTAAAACAAACACAAGATGCTTTATGGAAAGTTCTTGGAAATCAATCATGGACCACAGAGTGGAATCTGAAAAGGTGGTGGAATGCATGGTCAAACAGAAATTTTTTGGCAGATAGGTTTTATATGGTAGATAGGATCGAGTTGTTAGTATCCTGGAATTAAATGTACCTTTTTAATACGGCAGTTAGATTATACAAGACTTGCTGCTGTTTAAAGAGGTACTAAATGAGACTAGAGATCTTACTCTTGTATATTAAAAACAAGTCTCAAAAACAGCGACATTACTTCATAGCAGAGATCGACGAGCTTCGTTGGCGTCAAAGTTGTTACACCTCTCTCTCTGTTACAAATACAAGCTTGGGTTCCTTTTCTGCTGCCAGAATTGCATGTGAGACAATCTGTTTTACTGGCTTTGCCTATGCCAAGGGTGTGTTTGTGGGATGTTACTACATTGGAACAGTTGCTGTTTAGTAGTTAAATAATGTATTATTCTGTCACATTTTTCAATAGAGTTAGTTATACCAGTATGTGAAAGGGTTAAAGCTATTGCCCGACAGTCTAACATCTTGATCTACTGGTGTTTCTTTTCACAAAAGGTAATAATTGTGTCACATAAAGATAATAACTTATAATCCAACATTTTCCTACGCAAAGACCTATGAAGAAAGCGTTACTGATAACATGTGGCAAAAGCTACTACCAGAAAATGTCCTTCAGCACAAGAGCAGAAATACATCTAAAAGCGATTTCCTGCTGATAGGAAAAGACTAAGGGCTACTCAATCAAATAATAATATTTGAATTTTAATGAATGCAGAGAACGTACATGATGGCAATATGATATAAAATAAAAGATTAAAGTTGTCTAGGAAATTAAATAACAATAAATTAAGTCACAATTACAGAACTCAATATTGAAAAATATTGCAAAACACAAATTGTCTCAATTTTTCATAAAAATAAAATTTTATACCAATGTAATGATACTTAGTCATATTTAAAAATAATGAAAAAGAGTTATTAAAATTGTTATCATTCCACTTTGGTAATTCTCGTGAATTGCCCCGATGAGTGCAGATAAAAAGCTTCGTCAATACGAGAAGATGGTGGCATTTACCATTGTGGAGCAGAGAAGCTCATGTTCCTCCAGATCATTGGCACTGCACTGCACTGACCCTGGTGGTAACTTGGAACTAGGCTGGCAAGATCTGTTGGCATGGTCTCCTCTGCCAAGGGAAGAAGACAGCCTTCCTCTGCATCATCGTATCCTCCAGGATCTCCAAGTCCATGCCAGCAAATGGGGGTGCCAATTTGCCTCAGTCTGCCATCTCTGCTGGGCAGCTCTGGACTGCCAGCGTTTGATCTTGAGCTAACCAATATTTTAAATATTGCACCAACACTGAAAATCCTGGGGATGTCCTGATAGTGGCACGTATTACGCCGCCCACGAGCGGGAAGATAGGGTGAGTGAGACACCATGTTGCGTAGGTCACTAGGTGAGTTCTGGAGAATAGCATGTGAAACCTCACTAGGGCTCACAGAGAAAACTATGAAACTCCCCAAAATTGACACTTAGCAATTTCTGGTAAAATTCAGTCCAATGGGAGAATATTTCCAGTCCCTGAAAAATATAGGCCAAAGTGAGACGTTGAGAAAATCTCTAAAGATGGCCAGCTAGGAGCCTCTTGGTAGCAAGAACCAAAGATCCCATTTCCCAATCAAGTGTTGAACAATGAAATGAGATTATCACCTGTGAGCGGTGAGAGACTTATTTGCAGGCATTTATATCTCATTATTACCTAATCTGACTTTATTTAGATGCAGTTTCCCATTCTCCCACCTCTTCATGATAATTTCCAGTAAGATAGCCACTGCGGTTACCAACACTTCCTCTTGGGCACCAGTCACCAACATGTTATGGCAGTGTCAACACAGAGATCAATCAGAGTCTGGTCACTCATTAGTCAGGGCTGTCTATTAAACTTGGTCAAGGGAGTGGGCCACTGTCAGTCCAAGGGGTCTGGCCACTAAAATTCAAGGGAGTTATCAGGAGCAGCAGGGAATTCTGGAGAACTCAAACTGTGGGGATTGGAGGCAACATACTGGGATGCAAAGTGGATAATAATTGTGAAAGGGGGGCAACTGAATTTCTAAAGTGTGGAAGCAATAGAGCATTGAAGGGAAAGAGTTTACAGGTTGGGGGCAGTTATTGACAATCAACAACACCCTGGCTTTAATGGCAGGTCAGTGGACTACAATATCTAGTACAAGAGAGTCAGTTAGCTCAGTTGGTTGGATGTCTGGTTTGTGATGTAGGGGGACGCCAACAGCATGGGTTCAATTCCTGCACTGGCTGAGGTTACCATGAAGGTTCCACCTTCTCAACCTCACCCCTTGTCTGAGGGTGTGGTGACCATCTGTTTAAATCACCACAAGTCATCTCTCTAAAACAGGGAGCACCCCAATGGTTATGTGGGACTATTGCAACATTACTTTGCCTGCCACATTAACCCACACAGCCCCAGGCATATTGAGTCAAAGTGTGGAGATGAAGAGTTAGATACATTGGTGGGCGTGGGTTTGGGGCTAATTCAAAGCAGATGGGGTTGGCACACAGGCTACCAAGGAGGACTGAGCCTGACTGTGTGATCAGTGACTGCTGTTTCCTCCCATCGTTATAACAAGTATACCCATAGAGCTGAAAATGTCTACAATCACACCTGGAGTCAGTAGGGTAAGTGTTTTGAGAGTGGCAGACCTCACTTCTGAGTGATGTGTTGCCCTTTGAAGAGAAGCATATCCATAGAGCACAGCTGGAAGATTGGTGTAAACATTACATGCTAACTTCTAGTTATTAACTTACTATATGGAGCACAAATCCTGGCCCCAAACACTTTCTGACCACTTCAAGCAGCATCAGGAAGCAGTGCTACTAACGGCAAAGATGCACAAGCAATGGACTGCAGCTTGAAAAGTTTCACCCCAGTTGCCAAGTAACACCTTGCACATGGTGCAGAACCTGCTCATTTCATACCTTCAAACAGATAACATTGTGTAGCGCTAAGAATGCCTAGGCTCTGCACATTCATTCTTGAAGTTGAGCCTTGACAGACATTCACGCGTGGAGCTGATGCAGAATAGTGAACGTGAGTTGGCAATTGTGATAACTTCAAATGTTAAGTGTCACCATACACCATGTGCCCTCAGAAGGTACTTTTTTTTCTCCTCCCACAATTTCTTAATGCAGTTCCATGGTCCATAGCTGGAGTAGAAGGAGCCTGACTAAAAGTCTGTTGGCCTTTGAGCTCCGGTTGGGTGATCCTTGGGGCTTTTATGCCTGTGTCCCCTCCACAGAGAGAGGTTCATCCTCCTGGGCTGGAGCTCCCACAGAACTCGAGGAGACAGGCAGGGTGGAGATGGAAATTCCAGCTATTTCATAATAGCAGAATCCTAGGGGCAGGTGCCTGATGCCACCATCTTGTCTGTAGGTGTGCCCCTTCCTCACAAGGAGTGAGGTCCAGGTCTCATCTCCCTGCTGTTGATGCCAATACTCATGAGTCGAAAGATGGTCTGCAGGAGGATGAGAGTACTGACCTGGCTCTCTGTGGCAGTTACCAACCTATCCATGCAGGGAGCCAGACACTCTCATGCCTGAGGCCATACGGACCCAATGACATTGCTGCAGTCATGCAGCCTTGCTCAGTGCCTTCGACAAACCTGCCTGCTTCTCCTGGGCCTGTTGGTGCCAGTCAGTCAATCAAGTCCCTGATTGCCACCACCATTGGCTCCTCTCCTGTCTGGAGCTGAGCAGGTGCCTGGTCTTGGGCAGTGTTCAGAGTACCAGCGACCCAGGGCATTTCTCCCTCAGCCAGCTACAGAGATATGACAGTGATGTGCTCACCAGCAAATTGCCACAAATGAGACTTTCCCAGTTTCTGGTAAGATTCAACCCAGTGTGTCACTTTTCAGCGATAGTCACTGTGAAGCAGGATGACAGTGTGTGTGCAAAATATATTCTTATAATACATCATAGAATCCCTACAGCACAGATAGAGGCAATCCAGATCACTGAGTCTGCACCGGCCCTCCAAAGAACATCCCACACAGACCCGATCCCAAGACTTTCACCGTGACTAGTCAACTTAGCTTACACACCCCTGGCCAATCCATTTAACCTTCACTTCTTTAGACCATGGGAGGAAATCTACACAGAACGTGCAAATTCCGCACAGACAGTCGCCCAGGGCTGGAATCGAACCCGGGTCCCTGGCGCTGTGAGGCAGCAGTTCTAACCACTGAGGCTACTGTACCACCTTATGGTATGTACGGTATAAATGCATTTACTACAACGTATCTTCACTCAAAAACAATTTTAATTTTAGTCGAAAACTCGCATTTTTAGTTATTGTCTCATTACCCAACATTCAGACAGACTATTGGGAAGAAACTGCTCAAAACATCATATGTAGGAGCTGACAAAGAATGTATAAAAGCTATATTGTCATTGCCGCAAAACAATAAAGTGAATTTTGTTACTGGCATGCTAACCTTTCAGA